TAAACTCTTAGTTAAACCTAAAAAAAGTAAATTTTATATATAAAAAGTAGAATATTTTAGATTTATTATTACTTCTAAGAAGGTTTATATATTAGGAAATAAAGTTAAAGTTATTAAGGAATAGCTAATACTTAATAACTTTAAAGAAGTCTAAAGATTCTTAGGTTTTATTAACTTCTATTATAAGTTTATTAAAGATTATAATAAGATTAATATAGCTTTTATTAGCCTTAGCTATAAAGATATACCTTTTATATAGGAAAAACTATAATAGATAGTATTTTAGATAATTAAGGACCTTATTACTAGTAAACCTATCCTAATTATTTTAGACCTAATAAAATAATTTAAAGTAGAGCTTAATATATCTAACTATATAATTAGAGTATAGCTATTATAATAAGACCTAAAAGGATAACTATACCTTTATACCTTCTTCTCTTATAAGTTTTATAGACCTAAGCTTAACTACTAAATCTATAATAAAGAACTTATAGTAATTATTAAAGTTTTTAAAGAATAAAGACTTAAACTTTTAGGAATAATTTATAAAGTACTTATATATTTAAACTATAAGAATCTCTTATATTTTATAACTTTAAAAGTACTTAATAAATAATAAATCTAATAATTAGAATTCCTCTTAGAATTTAACTTCTAAATAATCTATTAAAAAGGATTAGATAATAGTAGAGTAGATGTTTTTAGTTAATAACTAGACTATAATATCCTAATACCTAAAGAAACCTAAATAATCCTTAAATAATAAGGTAATAAAGACTTAAAACTAGTAGCTAAACTCTTAATAATAGTTAGATAATCTAGTATTAACCTACTTAGTAAGCTAGATAATAAAGTAATTATAGAGTTTTATACTTACTCTATATATAGTTACTAAGGAATTATAAAAACTTAAAAATAACTATAATAATAATATAGAGAAAAGGTTATAAGAAAACGTATAATAAAATTAATTAAGGATTATAAAGTATATTTAAAAAGTAAAACTACTTAATATTAACTTTATAGTATACTATAACCTTTACTTATATTATAAACTATTTAGTAATCTATATCTTTTAACTTTATTATTAAACTACTAAAGTTATAAAAACTCTTTATAGGAGTATACTTTAATAGTATTCTTATTATAGTAAACTAACTTATAAAATATACCTACTTTATCCTATATAAAGAAGTAAGTAATATTAAAGAATATATATATACTTTCCTTAAATATATTATTACTAACTATAGTATACTTAAAGAAATTATATTAGATAGAGATAAGATCTTTACCTCTAAGTTTTAGAAGTTAATTATAGTATAACTTAGTATTAAATAATTAATATCTACTATATTCTACTTATAGATTAATAAATAAATAGAATAAATTAATTAAATCTTTAAACCCTATCTTTATATTTATATTAATTATAATTAAGATAACTAAATTATACTTTTATTAATTATTTAGTTTATTTATAATAGTATAATTAGAGAAAGTACTAAGAAGTCCTCCTTCTATCTTAACTATAGTTTTAAATTAATTACTTATAGAGAACTCTAAATAAGTTTAGTTATAGTTAAAGCTACTACTTTAATATAATAAATTAAGGATATCTAAGATAATATATATAAAGAACTTAAATTCATCTAATAATAAATATTAAAATTTAGTAATAAATAAAGGATTAAGGGATTAACTTTAAAAGAGGGAAATAGTATCTATTTTATATAATAAAATATTAAAATAAAATAACTAAGTAATAAACTTAATTATAAAAAACTTAAACCTTTTAAAATCTTATAAGTTATCTTATTAGTTAACTATAAGCTTAAACTCCTAGAAATTATAAAATACTACTTAATATTTTATATTTTACTTCTTAAGCTAGTATTATAAGGATTATAAATAAATAACCTTATTATTATAGAAGATAATAAACTAAAGTATAAAGTAGAAAAGCTATTTAACTACTAATATAAGGATAATAAATAGGAATACCTTATTAAATAGAAAAACTATAGATATAAAGATAATATATAAGAACCTAATAATAACTTATTTAACTATTAAGATAAGATTAATAAGTATATTAGAATATTTAATTATATTAATCTTAGGGATAGTTTAAATTTATTTATAACTTTAGAAGAGTTTAAGGAGTATATAAAAAATACTAATAAAAAAGAAAAATAGATATAAAAAGAAATATAATAGAAATAGAGAGAAGTTAAGAAATAAGGGATATAACTCCTATTAGTATAAGTATAACTAAGAGGACACTTTAGACTAATATAATAGGAAAATATATCTATTTAATTAGGAATACTAGAATATAACTAAGGTTCCCCTAATAAGAAATTTAGAATATTAGGATTCTAATTAAGAATAGAATTTAAGTCTAATACCTTAAAACTACCTATAGACTAAACCTCTAATATAGAAGACTCTATAGAAAAAACCTTAGATACCTCACCTTCTTCTATAACTACTAATATCTCTTTATAACCTTTTTTAAAGATTATTCTCTTTACTTTATAAATATAATCTAACTTTATAAGTACTTTATTTACTTTAGTTTATACCTTTTATAATACCTCTATTCTCTTATAAAATAATTCCTTAGTCTCCTCCTCTTTATTATCTAGATAATAAGACTTTATTATTAATTACTCTATTATAACTAGTTAGCTAAAGAAAGAAAAACCTAAAATAGATACTATTTTATACTAGTAAATTATATTATTAGAAGTATTATAGGAATAATAAGTACTACTAATAGTAATATACTCCTTATAAATTAATAACTTAGGTAATATCTTATAATAAAGCCCTTTTAAATAATAGTAATAATAAAGTATAACTTTAAAACTATTCTTAGTAATATTAAGAGAATAATAATAGTAATAAAGTATAGAAATTATAGGATTTTTAATAATATAACCTAATATAGTGTTAATATTATAAGTAAGATAAGAAGTATAATTAATAGATCCTTAACTTAAAACTAATAACCTACTTATATTAGGTCTTAAGGATAAGACCTTTAGAGAGGGGACCTAATATTATAATCTATAAATAAAGATAATAGTTAGTTAACCTACCTTAGGTATTAAGTAACTAAGATAGGATATTTATACTATAAGATTATAGGAATAGTAGGGACTTACTTAGAAATAGAAGAACTATAGTATAAGTTATATAATAATAAGATAAGACTAAGTAAATAGTATAGACTACTAAGTACTTAATAAGGACTACTAAGTACTTATTAATAATTACTAAGTACTTATTAGTACTTAGTTAGGAATTAGTAACTAAATAAAGAAACTATTTAAGACTTATATATAGTATAACTTAAACCTTACTTAAAATTAAACTTCTATAGCTCTTTAGTAATTAACTTAGTATTTATCTTTATAGATACTCTTAGCTTACTTTTATTATAAATTACTTATTAAGATTAAAATTAATTACCTTAGCCTCTAAAGATCTAATCTATAACTAGCTTATAACCTATAACTTAGACTATAACCTCAGTATACTATTATAATATATTAATCTCTAGCTTCTATTAGCAGACCCTACTGTTAGATAGCTGACTATAATAAAAAGGAAGAAAATAGGTGGTATTAGTATAATTAGTGTAGGTTAGTATAACGCACTAATAGTATGTGCTAAGAAAAATATAAAGGAGGAGAAGTTGAATCTGAGCTATGTGCGACCTTATGCAGCTGTAAAGTTAACTTCTCCTGCTTTTTAAAGCATGATGTTAATATTTCACGCTGCTATTGGGTTCATAAGTCCTTCTGATGCATATTTTAGGATATCTATCACTATACCTCCGGCGTTCGATTACCACGAGCTGATTCAACCTTTCATCACGAGACCTCGGCATCGGCGATGGGCTCCCAATATGACGCTGAAGCCCCTGCGGACACGGCTTCTTTCGCAGCAATTCTCTTCGACATGGACGGGACTATCATCGACACGACCTCTGCCATTGTTGAGCACTGGCACAGGTGCGATTCACCGGAGTTCTGTGGATGTAATCACCTAAGCTGACTGCACTCCAGAATTGGAAACGAAATCGGCGTTCCACCTGAGACTATTTTGGAAACATCTCACGGACGACGAAGCATTGATACGTTGAAGCTGGTGGCGCCTCACAAGGCAAACTGGGAGTGTAAGACCCTTTGCGTGTTCTTTATTTAAAGCAGCGGCTGACTTGAGATTAGACGTCAAGGAGGTTGAAGCAAAGCTGCCGGAGCTATACGGGCATCTGGTAGAAGAGATACCCGGAGCTCGAAAGTTTCTTGAGGCTGTGGCGCAGTGTCCTAAACCGTGGGCTATCGTGACATCTGCGTCAGAGCCCCTCGCTTCAAGATGGATCTCGCAATTGTCACTCCCCGTGCCAGATCATCTTGTCACAGCAGAGCTGGTAGAGAACGGAAAGCCAGATCCTTCATGCTATGAACTCGCATTAAAGCAGCTTGACTTGGTAGGGCGATCGGATGAGACACTTGTTATTGAGGATAGCCCAGCGGGTATAATTGCGGCCAAAGCAGCAGGTTGCAAGGTTTTAGCGCTTCTGACGACTCACTCGGAAGACCAGGTATCTGCAGCAAAGCCTGACTGGGTGGTGAAGGATCTCCTGTCTGCTAAGGTCTTCCACTATCAAAATGGCAAGATAATTGTGAAATTTCACGATCACAAATAGGATAAGAACATAGCATTGCAAAGGACAAATTGGAAGAGTAGATGATTTTGAAGGCTTGATTCTCTGTAAATGCAAACTGCATTCGTTCACATGTCCTTGCATTCGAGGCATCGATTATGAAGCCCGGACGATGTGAGTCGCAGAATAAAGACAAGTATGGGCCGAGAGAGAACTCACAGCAGCACGGACGTTTCCGGATCTAGCATATGCAGATATCACCGACCGCGTATCATAACCGTCTGGGCTAAGGGCCGTAGTGAATGTATGGCACCCAGAGCGGTAAGATGATTTCGGTTCTTCTGATATCTCTCATGGACCTGAGATCCTCTCCGTGATGCGACATATCTTCTTCTTGGTCGCCATCATGCACCGCGTCTCTGACTTTGTCTGCCTTCTCCCCCTGCTTCAACTCCGCAATTACAGACGCCGCCCAGATGTCTCGAAGCTTCTTCGTAGCGAAATGCAAGCCACCACTTACGGACGCGTCTGATATCCCTTTTGTGGCCAGAAACTCGTACGTTAATCTCGCCATTTCTGAAGACAATTCATCGTCGACCTCCCACAGAGTCCCAACCACATGCCGAAAGCCTGACAGCTGGAATGCACTTGTCAGGTGAATGTTTTCGTCCACGAGGTCCTGGTTGGAGTTTTCGCTTGTCTTGCATGCCGACAGGTAGGCAAGGAACGGTGGGCTAGATGCAAGATTCTTCTCCATGAGACTCGCAGTGGTCAAAGGTTGCGTCCTCCAATCATCTAGCAGAATGTGGCTCTTGAGAGGGTCAAGCCGATTCGACTCTCCGTGTCCTGCAAAGTGGAAGATGCGGCAAGTCTCCAAAGCTGCTAAGACGTCTTTTTTAATAGAAGTGGGTTGCACGTATTTCAGCGAGGTCGAGTTGAAAACACCACGAACCACTTCAGTCTCGGCTGTTGCGTAGCGAAGGCTTGAGTGTGGTAGCCCGGGGGTTTCTCCCATTCCAATCAATACGACATCCGATCCGGATTCATGATAGTGCTGTTGACGAGATATCACAACAGCCTTCACAGACGAACTGTATGAGGATATAACCCTATCCATGGCGGTCTTGTGGCCTGGAGCTAGGTGGTATCCGGCAGCATGCAACGGAAACCGGACGAGAGGCCCGGTAGGGATCCAAACGACATGTGGCCAATTTTCGTCGATGCAATGCTTCGAGAAGCCTATACTGTCCAGTACTGGGCCAACCACTGAGTCCCAAAGCCACATGAGTGTTTTGAACGATCGGACGTCATCTGCGCGTCTTAAAACGTCATCTTTGGTGAGTTTCGGCAGTCCCAAGACGTGTATCCGAGACTGCTCTATAATCAGAGCATCGCAACGTCGCGAGCTGATGTTGATGATGATGATTGGGCCGTCCTCTGCAGCATCTTGCATCTGTCTTCCAGTCGCAGAACATAGAAACCTGTCGAAGCCCGGTTGCATGCGGATGTTGTCCAAAAGCACCGTCATTTCTGTGCTCGCCTTGTGACGTTTATCGGTGTCCGGAATCTTGAGCTGGCTTGACGGATCATCAAGCGATTCCAGTTCTCCAAACACGTCACGGTATGTGGGTTTGTCTAACTCGGCTCGGAGCTCAATAAAAGAACGGGCTAGTTGGGGATGCCTGTCCTCCAACAAGGAAAGATCGGTGCGCCTATCGTGGAAGAAGCTAGCTAGAACTCCACGGCCGGTCTCAAGAAGTTCGATGGCAGTGACGGGACTCTGATTGTCATTGAGTGCGATTGCTGCGGCCTCGGATGCAAATCCTACAACACGCGTCAAGAAGAATTGCTTATCTTCAGGCTGGAGAGACAAAGGCGCCGAAATGGGAATGAGGCCCACCGCAGTCTTAGCGTCTAAGTATGCCTCATGTTTATCTTAGTCCATGTATCCTTTTGGCAGAAGATGGTAAGCGGCGTATACCCGCGTGGTGATATCTGCTTGCTCAGAACCCAAGACCGTACGTAGGCAAGATCTTGCCTGATCTCGGTCGACTTCTTGACTTGTTTTGGAGAATCAGAGGTTGCGAGACGGTAGTCGGCTGGGCCTGGGCCCGAGGCCTGAACCCCGGCCCGAATCCCGTCTTTATGTAAGGGATCGGCTACACCACTTTATAGCCAGGCGCGCCCGGCGCTCATAGCTAGATTAATTAAGCCACTTCACGCAGGTTATAAGCCCTCTAAATACTTAAATCTATTTACTAGATAGTGAGGTTATTCCTAAGTAGCTATTAGGACTCTAACTTTATAGTTTAGTAATTACTATAGGGTAATTAATAGATTATTAAGTTACTAGAAGTAATACTTCTAAGTGGAGGTTATAGCTATTATGATATATATCCCCTACTTATAAAATCTCTTTAGCCCTTAAGCTACTAAAGTTAATAATTATTTAATAATTACTATAGTTATATAGTGATAACTACTTAATAAACGTCTAATAATTACTTATAACTACTCCTTAAACCTCTCTTAAACTACTGAATTAATCGAATAAATTAATATATCTTTAACTAGTAATCTAACTTTATCTTCTTTTAGCTTTACTAAAAGGGGATTATTTTAGACTAGCCCTCCCCCTTCTTCTACTATAGACCTTATAGCTAGAGCAGCTATATAGAAAGTAGCTAGTAAGGGATTAGATCTAGGAAGTCTAGTATATAATACTATCCCTAAGCTAACTAAAGCTATAAGCTTTAAACTATAGGAGATTAATCTTAAGAATACTTTTAAAGTAATAGGATTACTCTTCTACTTAATAGCTAAAGGGATATTAGTTAGATATAATAGAGATATAGTCTTTAAAGAAGATAAAGTAGCAGTAGTTAAGGATCTAAGCTTTTTAGGTGATCTAATACTTATAGGTTTTATACTTACTAAATAGTTATTTATAGAGAAAATCTAATATAATCTCTTAGAAGAAATAATTAATAATAATCTTTCTATTATAGCTTTAACCTTCTATATCTTTATTAAGACTAAAGAATATACTTAGAAGTTTAATAAGCTAGCTATAAGTAAAGTTTATAATAACTAGAATAGAATAACTAGAATTAACTATAGTAATACTAAGGATTTTATATAAAATCTTCACTTAACTTTTAATAAACTAAATAATTCTAATATAGGCTTATTAACTATAGCCCTCACCTATAGACTTATTTAGGGTTTTAGACGTTTTAATTAAATTAAAATAGACTCTATAGAGAATAACTTTATTATAAGGATTTAAAACTATAATAACTTTTTATAAGAACTTAGAAGCTTAAGCGAAAAGGAATAATATAAGTAAGCCTCCTAAAGTATTAAAGCTCTATTAAATAAGAAGAAGTTTACTACAAAGAGGTAAACTTAAGCTCCTAAGTCTAAGAGTATAGAACTATAGGATTTATATATTTCTTATAATATTAAGTGTTAGCACAGGTATAAGCGTATTCAGGGGCGTGGTATATGCGCCTATATAGTATAGGGTTATAGATGGGCTTATGTTATGATAAAAGGTGATAATCCTGAGCATTTATGGGCATTTAATCGTATAGATAATAATAAGGGAATCGATGTATTATGATGACTCTGGTTGTTGTTGATTGTGTAGTTGGCAGGTTGCTTCCTCTAGTAGGGAAAAGTAAGGGGAAAGATAATCTGAAACGCAACCTGCTAAACTGCTAATTACATAAGGTGCTTACGT